TGAGCCATTGCCCCGGTCCCAACCTACATAATTTTAACAACATGTATACTGTACAGTACTGCAAAATCCCACAATACAGCAAACAATCCACAATAAATAATTTAGATTAATATTATTTGAAAACTTGCAAAACAGTGAGTCCAAGAAAGTCAAACTGAAATAAGGAGGACTGCTGTATTTCTTGTATATCATTTGTCTCATAGATGGGAAGTTTGCTCGGTGTCTAATGTGAATTGATATTTTTTCCCATAATTTTATTGAGAAACAAATAGCAATGAGAGAGTTTCAAACCAAATTGGTAGGATAGATTCAATAATTAACACATTGCACACATTCTTCCTAGTGGTTATTTGCTGTACAAGATGCAGACACAATATCTTATTTACAAACACTATTAGAACAAATCCCTCTATTCATTAAGAGAATGAAACTATACATCTGTCCTAACCATTTTGAATACACAGATACAAAATGGATATTCATCTGTATCCCCTTTTTCTGTTAAGTACTGTTATTTGAATATTATAGGTGTGTTAACTCAGCAAAGTATTCTAAAAGAGTACAGTAGTCCATAATAGTATTGGGTCTTCCGCTTCACTGACAATGTTAGAAATTGTTGACCTGAGTTCCCTACAGCTCAACGTGGCTTTACTTCTTATACTCCGTTTTTACACTTTTCTGCTGGATGGTTAGGAGCAAGGTAAGGCAGGACCTATGCAACAAGAGTTGTAGCTTTTGGGTCTGATAAGGTCAGTGAAATCCCCTCAGGATTTTTCCTGAGATCCTGTACCTCAGATTGTAGATCCTTTGTCAGTGTCAACCATGTGGATGAGTCATGGCCATTGCTTGGCCAGTGTGCTCTCTGTGAAAGCCTGAGAGAATGTTTTCTCTCCATGTGACTCTCCTTAGGCACACTCTACATCATCGATCATTTTCCTCTTTGGCCACATAATCTCCTTGATCAGAAATTTTGGGACACTACTGAGTTACATGACGTTACAGTACAAGTTCTCATATGTCCTGAGTCTTAATTGACCTTGGAAGGCTAGGGCCAAAATGTTGGCTTTCCTTGCGGCCCTCCTTTTTCTCTAATTTTGATCTGCAAACTTAGGTTGTTAACCCTCCAGTATGAATTGATTTTATACTAGCTGAACTGAGGTTTTAAAATTTCCCTTCCTGACATACCTGAATTAATCTTTTCGGAATTGAATATTGAATTGAATCTTTTCAGTTATTCTTTTCAGAATCAGAGCTGAAAAGCTTGCTTCCTTGTCCAGTCCTCTTGCACAACTGTGTGACTGAAGCATTCTTTGAACATTAGGATTCTCAACTAGAGCTGAGTTCTCTACTTAGTTTTCTTTCCCATGTGCATTTAAAAATGCTTATATTATTAGAGGTTGTGGGATTTTGCTTTGTGCTCACACTTCAGTTCCTTGTCTCACTTAATTTGTTTTCCTTCATATCTTTGCCTTTTTAGTGTGTGTGTGTTGTGGCCTCAAATTGTGCTATTTGGGCAAGCTTATAAGCCTTACTGAGTTTTATTAGTGCTTATTCGATCAATAATAATGATCAGTGTTTCTGTATTGAAAGATAATTCAGAAAATAATATAAGAATGACTAGAGATCATCGTGTTAAGCAAACTAAGCTAGATTCAGACAAATGGCATGTTTTCCCAAGTATGTAGAATCTGAAAATGGATGACATGAAAGGAGAAAAGAGACTATCATTACAGAAGAGTGGAATAGGGAGAGGTGATGTGAAAAGGAAGTTAAAAGAGACTATGATGTTGGTGTGGGTTTGCAGGTTACAAAACAATACGTATGTCATTGTCAGTTTTTATTTTAAAAAGATACTGATTTGTAGAAATAATCTAGGAACCAAGCAGAAGGTGTTCATTTATGTGTTTTATTCTTTATCTGGGAGTGAGATACTGTTATGGTCTGTGTCTAGGTGTCCCCCCAAAGCCTGTGTCAGTAGGGCAGGCTTCTAGAGTTTATGATAAATTCCTGATCCAATGCTGGGACTAGTACACCCAGCCTGGGGTAGATAGCCTGAATATAATCTGAGGAAGAAAAAGAGCCTTGCTGGCCTCGGCAGCCAGTGCTCCTCCCTTTGCTTTTTGCTGTCTGCTGCTACCATGAACTGTTGCCTTCTGCTATGTGCCCCACTGCCTTGGAGACAGCTGAGTATGGACTCCACTAACTGTGAGCTAACTAGACCTTTTTTTCCTTAATTTTGGCTGTTGGGTGTTTTGTTCCAGTGGTGAGAGAAAAGTAACTGAGGGACAGGTGCTAAGCACATTTTTTGTTTTACAAATATTTTTTTTAATTTGTACTATTATAAAATATTTCTGTGTGGAGGAAATTAAGAATTTCTGTCACATATATGGGGTGATGTTTTGTTAATTACCTTGATTTTAGTAATCATAATGTTTATATATCTGGAAACATGATGGTGTACAATTCAAAAAAAAGTAATACTAATACCAAGGCCTCATGTCCTCTTACCTCTTTCATTTTCCTGCCAACACTGTGCTACAAGTTTTCACTGTGTCTTCAAGTGTAAGCATGTTCTTGTTTTAGTTTTTCTTAGCACACCCGAATTAGGTGATTCCTTCACAAAAGAAGAAATAACTGCTAATAAAGACAGTCTCACTGTCCCTTTGAAAATTCCTGGTCACACTACCTTGTGCTAGTTCTTAAACTTAGCAGTCTCTGATGTCTGTCTGTCTGTCTGTCTGTCTCTCTTTCTCTCTCTCTCTCTCTCTCTTCCTCTTTTTCTCTCTCTTTCTCTTTCTCTTTCTTTTTTTTGTGGTACCAGGGATTGACCTCAGGACCTTGCACTTGCCAGGTTTCTTTAGGACTACAACTATGTTTCTTTAAGTGCTGAAGAGATGTCTCAGAAGTCACTAAGTATTTCCCCTTCTCCACCTGAGGAGCTGCTTAGTGATGAATGGTGCCACACTGGCCACTAATGGCCCTGCTCTGTTTGGGAAATGCTGTAGTTGGCCTACTGTCTCAGCTTCCTGGTGCTTCTCATTGGTGGTGCCCTTTCTGATCCCTGATATAGATTTGAGCATATACAATCCTGCCCACAGCTTCCATGGGACTAAATGAAGAACAAAAAGAATTTCAAAAAGTGGCTTTTGACTTTGCTGCCCGGGAGATGGCTCCAAATATGGCAGAGTGGGATCAGAAGGTAAGAGTTTTCCTTCTGGTGAGATGTCCCAACAAATGTTACACAGAGTGACCCTTACTGTCATCTCTGTATAATCCTAATTGCTCAGTATCTGTTCTCCTCTTCCCAACACTTACCTCTAAGTAAGAAGACTGGTAATGGAAATTCCTTTCATAGGAGGCACTTGATCATCTTGTAAGATACCTTTTTTCTTTTTAATTGAACAAAGATTTGAACATACTTAAAACCAACGTAATGCTATAGATAATTAAAAAGGAAAAAATGACAGGACAGAAGCTTTTTTTTCTTTTTTAAATGTATTTAGCACAGGGTCTACAGGGTCTCATTATACAGATCAGACTTATAGTGATCCTCCTGTCTTCAGCCTCCCAAGTGCTGGGAATACAGGCATGCACCACCATGCCCAGTTGCCATCTCAGTGAGCCCCGGGGGCAGGGGCGGCATGGCTCGTCAGGGATTGAATCCTGGTTGCTGAGCTTGCCCAAGTAGGTGCTTTAGTCTGCTGAGCTGTCTGGCCTCAGGACAGAAGCTTTATGAGAATCTCATTGCTCTTCCAAATGCAGATACCCTGGCTCCCTTGTTGTATTCTCTAAAGGAGAACCCATCTCTGAAAGTTACTGATGACTCTGCTCTGCTTTTTGCGTATAGGAACTGTTCCCTGTGGAAGTGATGCGAAAGGCAGCCCAGCTAGGCTTTGGGGGAGTCTACGTTCAGACAGATGTTGGTGGATCTGGACTATCACGGCTTGATACCTCTGTCATCTTTGAAGCCTTGGCTACAGGCTGTACCAGCACCACAGCCTACATAAGCATTCACAAGTGAGTGCCCAAGCTGGTACAGCACCAGGTAGTGCCCATGTAGGTTGACTGGGACATTTCACATCCCTAAGGAAAAGATGGATCATTTCAGGTGGGTTGCTCTAGTTCCCAGGGACTTAGAAATCCTTGAGGAACTGGGCTGTTAGTAGCACTTGGACTTGATTTTGCTATCTTGAACATTGCTTAGAAATCACGTTGGTCAGATTTCTCAATTAGGATAGAGTCCTGTCGCCTTTCCCTCAATCTGCAGGTGAAACCTCTAGTAATTTGATAAAATACGTATTAGATACTCATTTAATCTAATTACAAATAGTATCAGAATCCACGTGAGAAATACTTTGGTTCTTGTTATCTCTGGGTATTGTATATTCCAGGAATATGTTTTAATCCAGTCCTTTCTTTTAAAGTTGAATCTTCTCAATTGTGACTTTCCCCTTCTCATTCTCTCTACTTTCCTCTATTTTGCTATTCTTTGTTCTCTTTCTCCACCACACCCCATTTCCTTTTCTTTCTTTATTTGTGTCAATGTCTTTCCTTCTTGGTGACCCAATCAGCATGTGTGCCTGGATAATTGATCGCTTTGGAACTGAGGAACAGAGGCACAAATTTTGTCCACCACTTTGTACCATGGAGAAGTTTGCCTCTTACTGCCTCACTGAACCAGGTGGGTTTGCCATCCTGCAGGTGAGATTTAGTAAGGAGAGTGGTGTAACTCCGGTGTATCCACTGAGCTCTCCGTTCTGCTGATTGATGCACAGAGACACTGTTTAGCAAGCACCGTGGAGCAATGAAAGTCTCATGACTTGATAGCATAGGACTCAGAAACCTTTAGATCACAGTCCCTTGGCTCTAAACCAGACTTCCTCACAAGTGACTCACTGCAAGGTGGTATGTTGGAAAAGCCATAGTAATTGTCTTGGTGTAAGCAGTTTTCACAAAGTACAGAGAATTCCTTTAGCCATTTGGACTTTAAAGTAGTACCTGCTTTTCCTTTGTCAGGAAGACTTCCTAAGAGATGCAGCCTTGTTGAGCTCCTTTAACTTCATTCACTTCTTTACTTCACTCCCTTTTGATCCCTGCCTCAGGAAGTGGGAGTGATGCTGCCTCTCTTTTGACCTCTGCTAAACGACAAGGGGATCATTACATCCTCAATGGCTCCAAGGTACCTGCATACTGCCTTCCCCGAGCAAATTGGAGGTTGTCCCCACCTTGCTCCTGATATCCCTGATCCCTTCAGTGTATGAGTTAATATTCCTGTAGGGTTTTTATGTTTCGGGAAGAGAACCTCTTGATCCATATCTTTTTATCACCCCAGTGTTTATCTTTTCTCATTGGTTCCAGATAATTTCATTGACTTCATCCCTTTTTATATTCTTAACAACTAAATCCTTGTTCTTTAATCACGGCATTACCTGCTGTCCCACCTTAGTTTCTGTGTTGTACCCCGTGTGTCTTTTTGTTGGGAGAACTGAAGCATTTTCTCAGACATTATGTTCAGAACTCACATGGTCCTTGATACCCATGCACCCCACACTGTTCTCTTAACACAGGCTTTCATCAGTGGTGGTGGTGAATCAGACATCTACGTGGTCATGTGCCGAACTGGAGGACCAGGCCCCAAAGGCATCTCCTGCATAGTTGTTGAGAAGGGGACCCCTGGCCTCAGCTTTGGCAAGAAGGAGAAAAAGGTGAGTGGCTGTGTGCCAAGAAGCAGTTCAAGCTGTGAGACTCTGCCAGCAGCCACTGAGTACCTATGCTGTTTCATGAAAGAGGCTTCACATATTTTGTAATCTGTCTTTGGAACAATTGCTGCTATTATGATTTTCAGCAGGAGCGTATAAAATAGCATAGGGCACTGTTTAAAAAGCACCAGGGTTCTGGGGAAAGGGACATAGTTTGCAAGTAAACTTTCCAAGCTGCTCGTAAGTTTTGTTATCTCTCATGCATCTTCTTTCACCCTACGTTTCTTATGTAGCTGTAGTTTTGTTGAACTTTATCTCAAGAAAGGATAGCTACAGAAAGTCTGATATTGACCGGAGGACTTAGGAGTGAAAAGCATAGAGGCTACTTTTCTTCAAAAATGTAAAACTGATTGAAGGGATTGCGGATATTTCAGCAATCTAAGGACAGTGTTTCCGTAGGTACTCTGAAAAATACGGCATTTCTAGGGTTATGGTTCCTAGATTTGTGATATTGTAACTAATTGGTAGTAAGATTGAAACTGTATTTTCAGATTTTTTGATCTAGGTAGTCAAAACAGTCTACTTCTAGTTAGTACTGTTATTATTAGGACTTTTGGAGAAAAGTCAGATAATGAAGTGACCCACAAATATACCTCTGTCTCATATCTCCTAGTGTTTCTACATTTTCTTTTTTGATCTTTCCTGACCCTTTGTAACTGCCATGGAATTATAAGTTATAGCTCCACTTTTGTAATATAATATGCATTTATGAGGTACTAACAGGCATTTACTAGATACCTACTGTGGGCAGTCTTTTGCTAGTCCCAGAGAACAAAAATATTATTTCTTTATGATGCTGAGCATCATATGCCAGGCCTTGTGCATGCTGAGCAAGAGTTCTGCCATTGAGCTACACTTCCCAGCCCACGAGAAGGCAAAATTATTAGTCACCCTTAGGGGTATTTTGTATTATAAAATATGCTGTTTTAGCTGTATAAACTCTTATGACACAGGGAAAGTTTATATGTAATATATATATGATATGTAGCTATTGGATTTTTTTAATCCTAGAAATATTTGTCTTGGGTAACAATAAAAGACACATAAACCTGACTTTTGTAGCCTGGCACAGGTTAAAGAATGAAGTTATGCTCGTGCAAGTATTTGTTTTTATACAGAGTGATGATTATTTTAACTCACATTGGAAGTATCTATTCAGCATTTCTGTTGTCTGTTGACAGAACAAGTTGAGAGTTTAGAAAAAAATTACAAATATTTAAAATAAGCAGAAAGTGTATTTTAGGTCTCTTTTTTGCTGTCTCTCACTTTTAAGCATACAAACACACATTATTTTTGTTTGTATTAGTTTTGTTGTATATATTTTTAAGTGTAAAGCAACTCTGGAAGAATAGCTCTTGGTTCACTAGACAGCCAGCCTGCGCCCGCTGTGTACCAGGCACACCTCCAAGTTGCCAGTCCAGCAATGAGGAAGACAGACGTGATTCACATTGTGGAATTTACATTGTAGTAGCAGCCATTTCACAAATGAGTCACCTCCGTTGGTGCTCTTAGAAGGAAATTAAACAGAGTGACATGATTTTGTTTGAAGAGGAGTTTCTTTACATAAGAAAGGGCTGGGGCTGGTGAGATGGCTCAGTGGTCTAAAGCACCTACTTGGAACAAGCTTAGCAAAAAAGCAGAGGGACCATGGTTCAATCCCCCAGCACCACATGCCAGCCAGCCCCGC